TCCTTCCTCTCTTAATAATTTTTGTGTCTATCTTCCCTCACTATCTTATTTACCGCACTTATTTTTTGCTATTGTTTACCTTGTCTTTCTAGCTGTCATCGTCTTTCTTTATTACTCTCTTTAGCTATCTCTCAGCCTTTTATTATCCCTTCTTCAGTGTCTCTCTCTATTGCGGCTTTCTAGCTACCTTTCATCATCCACTCTGCTATTTTGCTTGTCGCTTATTTTCCTCTTATCTCAATTCTGCGATTTCTCCTAGCCATCTTGCTATGTTCCTTCACACTGTATTTCATTCTCTTTTCATTTCCCATTCTTGTGTCTTTCCTAGTCTGTTCCCTATTATTCTAACCGTTGTTGTTTCTGTTACTTTCTGTTATTTCTACTCTGCTTGCTCTCTTTCCTGTTTGCTCTTTTTTCTCTTCTTTCCGCTTAACCTTTTTTTCCCTTTTATATTTCCCTTTTATCTCTTCTGCTTTTCACCTTGTTCCTTCGTCTTTTATTCTCTTTTCTAGTCTACTTGTTTCTTTCTCTATGCTTTCTGCTTCACTTTGCTTTTTCCCTTCCTGACTTTGTTCTTCCTTTTTACTGCTGCTCATTTATTATCACTTTCTTTTCCCTTCCTCTTATTATATTCTTTATGTATTATTTTTTACTTTGCTCGTTTCCCCATTTATCACGTTTCCTCTCTGATCAATTCATTTTTGTCTCTTCCTCTCGTTTTTTCCCTTTGACATACTTTGCGTTGCCATGCTTTCATGTTCTCGCTTGTCCTTGTAGTTCTTTGGCTATTTCTAGTATGACTTTTTTCCCTGTATCGTTGTCGCTCTCCTAATTCGTGTTGCTTACTTATCTTCTTTCAGCCTTTGCTTATGTTTTCGTTGTACTGATTTGTCCTAGGGTTCCGTTTCGCCTGTCTTTGATGTTCTTTCCTTCTCTTTTTCCTGGTCTCTCTTGTCTTCACTGCTCATTGCTGCTTCTGCGTTTCGCTTATATACTTTTTCGCCGTCCTCTGCTTCTGCCTTTCTATTGCGTTTCTCTTGCTTCTGCTGTTTATCTTAACTTTTCTCATATATCCTGTTTCACTGTCGCCCTCTTTTCTCTCTTTTCCGCCTATTCAAACGATCTCTCTTGCACGTTAATTTTCTTCTTTCGGTGTTTCTTTCTTTGCTTCTGCCCCTGCCTATCTTTCTTGTTACTCCCTACTTCCTTCTCATTTCGATGTCGGCCTATCAACTTCCCTTGTAGTATACTCTTTCTTGCTCCTCTTTGAAGCTCTCGCGACCCCTTGCTTCTCTTTATTTCGTTTTTTTTCTCTCTATTCCTTGCCTCTTGATTGCTTCCTTTTTCCTGCTTTCTCTTATTCTTTTATTTGTCTGTTCGCATTCATATTTTTGATGTTTGTCTCTTGATTTACTTTCAGCCTCTTCATTCCTACCTCTTACTGCTCTTTTTTACCCTTTCTTTCTACTGTCCTTGTCTCTACTTTCCCCTTCTCTTCTCTCTTGTGCTTTCTGCTTCGCTACTTCTTGTCTACTCATACTTTTTTCCTCTCTCTTGTCTTTTTATATACTGATTGCTTCTATCTTCCTTCTTTGTGAACTATTTGTTCCCTTCTTTTTCTATTTGTTGTTCTCTTCCTCCCTTTCATTCTTCCTTCTTTCTTTCTTTTGCTCTTTTTATTCCCTGACTTATCTCTTGTTCCTTGCCATATTTCCTTTGCTTCTTCTTTCGCTCTCTTTCGCCTTTTCTTGTTGTTTCCCTTTGCCTTCTTTTTTCTTTTACTCCTCATCGCTATCTATTTCTGTCTTTGTTGATATCTTGCTCGATCTTGTCTTCCATCCTCGTGCTTATCTTTTCTTCCTTATTTCATTTTTGCTTACTACGTTTATTATCGTCTTACTCCTTTTTTTTGTATTTTACATTTTCCTTTTTTCCTTCTTTCCTTTCTTTTCATCTTCTATTTCCCTTGTTTCGTTTTCTGTTCCCTCTTTTCTGCTTGTCGCGTCTTTCTGTTTTCTTTTTCTCTCTTCTCGTTGGTCCTTATCTTATCTTCGTTTTTCTATTCTCCGTCTTGCCTATTTTGCGTCCCTTTTTTTCCTTTTTATTTGCAGTGACTTTTGTTCTATAATTCTTTATTCCTTTTAGTACTATCGTGTTGACTCCTTCTCTCTTCTGTATATTTTATTTGCTTGTCCTGTTATCGTTTACTCTTGTGTGTTCATTATTCCTCTTTTCTATTCTCTTCTCCTGTCTCCTTCGCACCGTTTTGCGCTCTTGTTGCTCTTGCCTTTCTTCTTTGCTTCTCGTTATTTAGTGCACTATTTATAGCCATGGCTTATCTTGTTAGTTTTTCTCTCGTGCAACTCTCTTATGTCTGTTTTTCTCCCTTCTTCCTATCTCTGCTATGACTGCCGCTTTCTATCTTGTTTGCTTCCCTCACATGACTTTTTCTTTTGTACCTCCTTTAACTTACTGATTTATATTGTCATTTATTCCTCGGTTTTCTTCTCATTTTTTTAACCGATTGTAGTGTGCTATTCCCCTTCTCATCCATTTTAATTAGCCTTCTTATCTCAGGTTACTCGCGTTTCTTTAGTCCCTTCTGGCATTCCCTTTTATTCTTTCATTGTTTTTCTCATACTTGTCCTTCGTTAGATTCTCTTATCTAGCCTTCTCTTTGTCGTTCCTGGACTCTCTCCTGTTCTCCTTTTTACATTTCAGTTACTTTCTCGTTATCACATCCTTTCTTACTGTCTCCCTATCGTCTACTTTTCCTTGAATTTTTCTGGGTTCCGTCCCCTTTATTTCCCTTCCTCCTCATATCCTCTCTCTTGTTCCTTTTCCCTTCTCTCCTTTTGCTTTCTCTTTGTCTTTCCCTTCTTTGTTCTTGTTATCCTATATTTATGTCGTGGTTACTTCTTTAATGTTGCTTTTGTTTTCCTTCCTGCCTCTTCGCCATCTTAGTTATCTAAATATCCCTCGTGTATCTCTTCTTCTTTCCTTATCTTTTCTCCCTCATGTTTTGATCTCTTGTCCTGTCGATATCTATTCCTTAATCTTTTATCTTCTCTTTTCATGTCGTTCGATTTACCTTATTCCCTTCCTTTTTACTGTTTTTCATTTCCCTAATGTTGTAGTTCTTTTTTTCTATATCTTTCGTCCTCTCATCACATCACTTTTCTTGTCACAGCTACCTTCATCCTTCCTGTTATTGTCCTTTGCGTCTTTTCCTATCTTATTCTTTCGATCTTTTTTTTCTATCATAAATACTCGTCTGTCCTATTTCGCATCCATCGCTTCCCTTAGTTCCTTCTTTTATGCTTATTTTTTACCTCATTCTTCTTTTTGATGTTTCCTCCTCTTTGTGCTTCTTCTGTTTCTGCTTCCTGTCATTCCTGCTGTCTCGTTTTCCTCTCCTCTCTTCTCCCTTCTGATCACCTAGTCCTATTTCCCTTCTCTCTTGTCTTTTCTTCGTTCTCGCTCTTACTCCTTCCTACTGTCTTTAACTTTTTTTATCTTTCTTTTCTCTTGCGCTTCCTCCTTTTTTCTTTTCTACTTCCTGTTTTTCTGTCCCTATTGACCTATCTCTCCCGTTTTATCATTCGCTTGTGTCTCCCTTTCTATTTGCTCCTTTTTCTTTGATGACCGTTGTCTTGCGCTATATCACTATCTCCTCTCTATTCGTTAGCTTTTCCCTCGCTTCTTCCTCTATTTTATTCCTTCTTGCTACCTTACTTTACCTTTTTTCTCATCAATTTCCTGCCCGTGTTTCTTGCCCTCCTGCTCGTTTGTTTACTATTTTTCCTTCCTCTCTTAATAATTTTTGTGTCTATCTTCCCTCACTATCTTATTTACCGCACTTATTTTTTGCTATTGTTTTTCATCTTGTGCTCTCTGTCTATATCCCTCCTTTCCTCTTCGTTCTTACTGCCTGGAGTGTCTCTTTCTTTCCTACATTTCTCGGCCTTCTCATTCCTGTCTTGTATTTGATCTCTTATGTCTTTCTTCTGCTTTTTCTTTGTCGCTTCTTTGTTTTCTTTCTTTCTCCTGTTCTCTTTGCTTCTAGTTACTGGTCCTCTATTTATTGCTATTCCCTTTTGTCATTTGTTCCTTCTCGTATCTCTTGTGTTTCCATCGCTACATATTCCTAACTGTTGATTATCTTATCTTATCTTTCTAGCTCGTCTCGTTTTTCTTGTTCGTTTCCTGCTTTCTATCGCTCTATCTTGCGTTTTTCTACTTACTTCTCCCTTTTTTTCCTCTTACTGTTGCTCCTCTTGGTCCTACTTTTCTTGCTGTCTTTCTCGCCTATTCTCATTTCCTTTCTTTTCTTTTCTAGCCTATGGGTGTATTGTCTACTTATTCCCCGTTACTATCTTTTTCCTATCTCCTTTTCGCATATTCTTTTAATTTTTCTTCACTCTTCTATCCTTTGCTTACTTCTGCTTTCTCTCTGCCTTACTCCCTTATCTTGCCTTATTTCCTTATTATATTCTATTATTTTCTGCTTATTTATTTCTGTTGCTTCCTATGCCACTTTCCTTTCATTGGCTTCCTATTTTTCTTCTTTTCTCTTCTTGCTCTTCTTTATCACTGTTCTTAACTTTCTCTTACTTTTTTTCTCTTTGCTGTGTTGCTCTTTTATCCTCTTGTCTATCATTTCGGTATGCTTTTTCATTTTTGGTGCTTCCTTACCATACTTTTCTTCCTTCCTTTCTGTCTTTCTATTCTGGCTTTTCCTACCTTTTGCCCTTACTTATTCCACTATCATTCCTTTCTCTTTACTATTCGCCCTTTCATTATACTGCCTTTCTCATTGCATCTCGCTTCTTGACCATTCATTTATGTTTTCTTTACTTGTCACGTCTCTTTTAGTTCTTGTCTGCCTCCTTTTCTCCTTCTTCATTTTCTTATTTCTGTTTCCTGTTACTTTCTATCTGGTTTTCCTGATTCCTTCTCTCTTTTTAATCTTTTTCATTTCTCTTCCGTCATTCCTTCTTATTTCTTTTCTTCGCCTCTCTTGTGTTGTCCTTGCTTTGTCTTGTTTTTCCTTGGCTCGTCCATTCGTCTCTCTTCTTCGTTTTTTGCTCTGTGCCTATCTCTTCCTTGTTATTTCCGTTTCTTCTTTTCGTCGTGTTGTACTCTTCGTCTCTGGTTCTGTTCTCTCTTGTATTACTTATTCTTCTAATCTCCTATCGTTATTCTTCTCATCCTGTTTTCTCTTATTTTTTCTTCATTGTCTCTTACTTTTACGTCTTATCCCCTTTCCCTATTGCTACTTCCTTATTGTTTTCTCTTTACTGCATCCCTGTATCGTGCCACTGCTCCTGCTTTTTATTCCTTTCCTTCTCCTTACTGTCCTATTTTCTGTTCCTTGTTTGGTATTCTCTTTTTCTCCATTTCTACTTCCTGCATTCTCTGTTGTGTATAACTTTGTCGTTTATTTCCTTGTGCAATCTCGTGCTTTCTTCTCTTCCTGCCATTTTGTTCTCTCTTTGCTTCATAGCATTTTAATCCTCCTGTTTCTTTCTGATTTCCTTTTCGTCTCCTTTTTTCCCTCCTTTCATGCTTCATTGTTTCTCTTTTAGCTTTTTCTTCTCGCTTTATTTCTTCTGTCGTTTTCTATTTACCTATTTCCTCTCATTTTCCCGTCTTCAATTATGCTTTCTTACCTTTTCCTGTCTTCTTCTTTCTTCTCTCTGCCGACATCCTTGCCTTTATTGCTTGGTTGTTTTTCTTCATTATTCGTTCTGCCTTTCTTTTCTTCTATCTCGTTTCCTCCCGTTACTCCTTCGTTTCTACTTAGTTGTTTTCTTATAATATCTTCTATTCTGATTTACTTCTTCTTTCTTCTTGTTAGCCCTTCCTTCCTACCTCCTTATTTTCTCGTTTGATCTTGCGGTATAGTCTTATTTATTTTTCTTACCTTTTATTTTTCCTTCTTCACTTTACTTTTTACCTCCTGTATTGTTTCTCTCTTCTTCTTCCTCACTCATTGTGTTTAATTCGCTGCTGTTTTTCACTGAGCTTTGTTCTCGTTTTCATTCCTGCTTTCTAGTAGCTTTTTCTCACTTGTTACTCCTTTCCTTTCTTCTTTCTTTTCTCCTTATCGCTGTTTCTTCCTGTTTCTCTGATACTTTTCTTCCGTTTTGTTTATCGCTTCTTTGCTTCTCTCTCCCTTTTTCCTCTTTCTCTCTCGCCTATCATTTCTCTCTCTTAACCTCCCTCCTCGTTTCTTTCCAGTTATGTCTTCTTTCCTTTTCTGTTCTTCCTAATATTTGCTTCCTATTTTCCCTTCTTTTCCTTTATTGTTTTTTCCTTCTCTTGTCATGTGTTATTTTTACCTTTGGATGTCCTTTTCTTGTGGTCGCGTATCCTTTTTCCTATTGTTAGCTCTTTTTCTAACGTTTCTTTCTCTTTCCATCTTTTATTCTTTTTCTTTTTTTTCCTTATTCATTTGTATTTCTTCTCGTTTTTTTTCTTTCCTTTTCGCTTTGTTTTGTTGCATACTTCATGCTTACTTTCTCTGATTTTCTTTCTATCTTCTTCCTTTATTCTTTTTCCTTCTTGCTTCCTTTATACCGTTTGCTCTTCCATTTTTTTCTATTATCCCTACTTTCCTCTTGTCTCCTGTCTACATTGCTGCTTTCCTCTTCCTCTCTCATTATATCCTCCTTTTACATTCTACTCTTTTAATTCACTTTTCTGTGTTTTTTCTCTCTTTTCCTCTATCTTGCTTTCTCTATTTTCTTCACTTTCTATTGCTCATTCCTGCCTTTCCTGTTTCTTCTAGTGATGTCTCTTCCTGTTCTCTTTTGTTAGTTCCTTCCTCTTCTTTCTTTCCCTATTTCATTAGCTTTACTCTTCTTCTCGATCTTTACTTCCCTACGATCCTTGTGCCTTTCCTCTTTTCATTTCTGCTGTCTTATTTTACTACTTCCTTCTCTTCCTCCATACAATGCTTTGTATATTCCTCTTCCTTAATTCTATCTCCTTCTAACTTCTTCTTTTCCTTGTTTCTACTCGTTTTCTGTTCTTTTCCTTCCTTACTTACCACCCTTCTCATTTTCTTCCTGTGCTTTCATGACTTGTTTATTCTCTTCTGTATTCCTTTATCTTGCTTCCTTCTCTTTTTCCTCTTCGATTCTTCTTTCCTTCTCTCTGCCTTTTTCTCCTCATTTCTTTTTCTTGTTGTCTCCATTTACTGTGCTCTCTTGTACTTCCTTTATCGCTATTTCCTATTTGTTCTTCCTTCATTGTTTCTGTTTTCTTTACTGCTTCTCCTTATCTCTAGTTTAATGTTCTCTATTCCTTCTGTCTTCCAATTTTCTCTTTTTTTCCCTATCTTCTTTACTTTGTCTTATCTTCTCTTCCATTCGTTTGTTTCTATTGTTTACCTTGTCTTTCTGGCTTCATTGGTGGTTCCTTGTACTAGTGCTGCTATTCTTCTGATCCTTTTTCCTTACTCTTTCTTACCTTATTCTACCTTTAATTTCTACCTATCTTTATCTTTACCTCTTTAGCCCTCTGTATTTCATCTCCCTTCTCTTTCGTTTTTGTATATTGTGGTTGTCACTTTTCTCTTCTTACTTGTCTTTCCTTTTTTGCTCTTTCGCTTGCCTCTGTCTTCTTTTTTCTTGTTATTTGTCTCGCGTTCTCTTATTCCGTCTTGTTCCGTCGTTTACTTTCTTTTGTATATCTTGCGCTTCTTGTGCCTTCGTTTGCCTTTTTCCTTCTTTTTTTATCCCTTTCTGCCTCTTTTTCTCCTGCGTTTCCTCTTTTCTTCCCTTTCTTCTTCTTCTTTCTTTTCTCCTCTTTCTTTCTTCCTCTATTGCGTCTGTATCTCTCTTCCTTTAGTTCTTTCTTGGTGGTGCTTCTCTCGCTTCTTTTCCCATTTATTATCTTCTATTCCTCCTTCTTTCTTCTTACCTACTTTTTTGTTTCCTCTTCTTCTGTTTGCTTTCTGTCTTACTTGTGCCCTTAGCTTTCCCTTCTCGCTTCATTACCTGTCGTCCCTCTTTTTTGTCTTTCCTTTCCTTCCCTTTCCTTTTTTCTCCTTTCTTTTCTGTTGTCTCTATCTTGTCTTTTCCTCTTTTCTGAATTTATTGCTAATATCTTTGTTCCTTTTTGCTCTTTCTTTCTGCTTTAGTTGTTGTCTCCTTTTTACCTTGTCTTCCTTTTTCATTTACTTCTTATTTATCTCGCTCCTTCCTTTATTTCCTTATTAATGATCGTTATTGCTTATTCCTTTCTTCCTTATACCTTCTCTTCCGCAGCTCTCTCGTTTTTTATGTTCCTTGTTTCTTTTATTTTCTGATTCCTTTTCTATCATGTGTCTTTTTCCGTCTCGCTTTCGATTATTTTCTATTTCATTTTCTTGTTCTTTATTCCGCATTTTCTTGTCATCTTTTTCTATCTTTGCTTCCACCTTTTGCCATTACATCTTTTTTTCCTCCTTTGCTTTTTTCGCTTGCTCGACGTTTTTATCTCATTTGTCTATTTCTTACTTACGTCTCTTTGCTCTCTTTTCTTCTCTATCTTGCTTATTCCTGTCATTTTTTTTCATCCCCTCTTATCTCTTTCCTATTTACTTCTCTATTTATTCCTTCTTGTTCTTTCCCTTCTTCTTATTGCAACTTTTCTTATGTTTCCCTGTTGTTTCATTGCTTCCTATCTTTTCCTGTCACTTTTTTATTGCTTTGTTCTTGTCTATCCTTTTCTTCTTTTCTCTCTTCGATACTTCTATGGTTCTACTTTTGTTTTCTCTTTCTGCCTTTCTCTTTTTCTTTCTTTTGTTCTTGTATTTCTATTTCTTCTGTATCTCGTTTGTTTTGTTCTTTTCTCTTGTCTTACTGTGCCTCTTCGTTTCTTTCCTCTTGCTTATTCTCCTATCTTCGTATATTCTGTATGGTTTTTTCCCTCTCCTTCTTTTTGACCTTCTCTTATTTTTAATCTTTTCTTACTATCGTACTTCCTTTATATATTTCTTGTTTGCTTCTTCTTAATTTCTTTCTTTCTTGTCTTTTACTTTATTTCTTTTGCTCATCTTGCTTTTTTTCTTCTTCTTCTTTATTGCTTTCTTTTTTTCTTTCTTTCTTTCTTTTTCATTCTTTATTTTCTTTAGTTTTCTTCCTTTTTTTCTTCTTCTCTCTTCTCCTCTTTTTGCTTGTATTTTCTCTTTTCATTGCTGTTGTCTTCTTCTCTACCTCTCTGCTTTTTTGTGCTTCATTTTTTTCTCTTTTCCTGTTACTTTTTTTCCGTGTTCCTGTTTCTCTTTTTTCTTGTCTTCTTTCTTTTTCATTTCTTCCTTTTTCATTTTCTCTTTTCTCTTTCTTTCTTGCTGTTTTTTTGTATGCTTCTATTCTATTCCTTCTCTTGTTCTCTCTCGCCTTTTTTTTGTTTTTTTCATCTCTATACTTTTTTCTTCTTATATATTGTTCGCCTCCTGCTTTATCTTCTCTTCTTGTTTTCTTGATTTTTTTGTCTCTTTTTCTACTGTTTCTTTGTCGTAGCTCTTTATCTTGTTTTCATTTCTCTTTTCTTTATTGGTTTTCCTTTCTTATTTTTTCTTTTCTTCTTTTATTTGTCGCTTTATTTATTCTTTTTTGGTTCATTTCTATTCTTAATTTCCCTTATTTTGTCAATTTCTATTCCATTCCTTATTTCTTCATTCTTTCCTTCTTTCTTGTCTTGAGCTTTATTATTATTTGTATGATATTGTCTTTTTTTCTTCCTGCTGCTCTTCTACTTTTTATTCTGTTATTTTTTCCTTTTTCTTTTGTCGCGTTTTCTTTCTCTTCCTGGCTGCATTTGCTTTTTCTCTCTTTTTTGTTCTTTTTTCTATCGTTTTCATTCTTCTTCTCTTCTTACTTTCATTTTTTTTCATTCTTCTTTTTATTATTTTTTATTCTTTTATATTTATTTTGCTGTTCTATCTCTCGTGTTTTATTCTTTCTTTTCCATTCCTTCATTTGTTCTTTTTCTTTTTTTCTTTTCCTTATTCCCTCTTTGTCTTATTCTTTTATTGCTCATTCCTCCTTCTTTCTTTCCTTATTTATTTCTTCTTTTCCTGTTTTCTTTTTTTCCGTCTTATCTTCTTTTCATTATTTTTTCTGCTGTTTTCTCTTCTGTCTTTGTCCTTTTTCCTGCTTTTATTTTTTTTTTTTATTGTTTTCTCCTGCTTACTTCTTTTTGCTATTTTTTTCTTTCTTTCTTTTTCTTTCTCTTTTGGTCTTTCTCTTTCCTTCTATTGTCTCCTTCTATATGCTCGTCCTTCTCCTACTTGCCTTAATTCGCTTATTCTGTCTCTCCTTTTCTATTTTTTTTTCGTCTATAATGCTTTCTATTCTTTGTTTCATATTTTATTTTGTTATTTCTTCTGTTTTTTATTTTCTCTCGTTTTTGCTCTTACTTCGTATTTTCTTGTTTCTCTTTCTTTATTTTGTTTTTCTTTCTTACTTGTTTTCTTTCGTCTTCTTTCTTTTATCTTCTTTTTTATTCATCTTATTTTCTTTGTTGATTTTGTCTTTTTTCTATTTCCTTCTTTGTCTCTCTACTTTCTTTTTGTTTTTCTCTTTCCTTTCTTCATTCTGTTTTGTCATATTCTTATCTCTTTTATTCTTTTTTCTTGTACCTAAGTTCTTTCTTTTTATTCTCTCATAATTTTTTCTTCTGTTCTTGCATCTTTTTTCATATCAATTCTTTTTTCCTTTTCCTCTTCTTTTTTTTTTATGTTCTACTTTCCTTTATCTTGTTTTATCTGTTGGCCTGTGTTATATCTCGTATAACTCTTGCTTGCTTATTGTATTTTTTCGTTTTTTTTTTTTCTATTGTTTCTCTATCTTCTTTCTTCTCTATTTTTTTTTTTTTCTGTTTCTTATGTTGTCCCTCTATCGTATTCTTTTCTCGTACTTTCTGTCTTCCTGTTATTTTTTACTTTTTCTTCTTTCCTCCTTTCTTACTTCCCTTCTTCTTATTTATCGTTATTTTCTTTCTCTCTTCTCTATTTTTCTTTCCTCTCTATCTATCCAGATTTA